GCATGTTTTAAATGTTGGCAACGAATGATAATCTTTATATTTATCACTTATATTGTCTCTCTGTTGTTTAATCAATTACTTTAGTATTATTTTTATCTCTCGCTCTCTTCCGAGCCCCAGGTCCCGGGGATTTTTTCTGATATCCCCACTCTCTCGGCTGGCTTGAGTACACCTAGGTCAGAAATGACTGAATTGTTCACAGGTATAACAGACATTTTTTCTGTCCCTCCATGGATTGCGTTACATTTCTATCCACATCATTAGCACCTATGAAACAACGACTTTGTGATACCATTGTCTGTCAAAAAGCAGCCACTCAAGTATCTGCTATACAGCACCTGGGTATGTAGCGCCATCTCTTGTAGCTTCCTGCAATGCGGAATTAGCACATTTCGGCGCTGTTTCTAACACAGCCACTGAAAGATATTTTTTTACTCCGATAATTTCGTCAGAATTACTATATCATACCTCGTTTCCTCTGACACAGCTTCAGTTATAATTGATTTGATTTTTTTTTATAGATTATACCTTTTTTAACAACAAGCACAATAAAATAGGTAAAAGATAAGAAGTGTATAAGATAAAAATATAATACAAAGCATCACTCCTGGATGGATGCAGTCCGTCTCAAGGACAAAACGCACCAATTATTTTAAATACATATAGAAAATAAACTTTTATTTGTTTTCACTCACGTTATCAAAACATTCCCAGTTGACACTTATTATATTAGAAAGTTTTATATTTTCATGTTTAAAATTAAATAAAAATCTGTGAATTCCTTAATTTTTTTCTGAGTGTACTACGGCAATCGTAGCCCTGTAGGAGAACAATCATAACAGTTTTGAACAAAACGCTAAGTAAACCTTGTAAGTTGACTGCAAGAGTAGGTGTATCGACGTTTAGCCAATCAGTTTCTCTACCTTGGTTGACATGGTGTGATGTATTACCTATATATAAGTTTTGAAAAGCCATAAGCTACTGTTCTAAATAATTCACGAAAGCGCTTTTTCCTTTTCAACTTCAACCCTCCCAAAGTTTAAAATGGTAATTGAATTTCATTAGAACGTTAGAAACTTCTAATGGTGAGTACAACTTTGTAGGTGGCGTTAATTTATTTTAGTGAAATGAGATGAATAAAATATTAGTATAAGTAAAGGAGGGTTCCTTGCTATGTATTTAGCATTGGCATTTTTGAGTTTATTAGTAGTGCTTCAGCTGTTTTTCTTCTAGTCATGTCTGGTTCTCTTCGGATGATTTGGATATCGTTTTCAGTGATGTTTGTTTCTTTGAGAAGTTAAAATACAAGTGAGAGTCCTTTATGAGGTTCCTTCATTCTTAGGTTAATTTTTCCGATATAAAAAGTGTTTACGTGAAGTGCATTTGATTTTGTAAATGCATTTCTTCTTTTTTATTTTCAGTGGAGTAACTGTCAGTAGCCTCCCGTGGCTCAGCGGTAAGCCTCTGGAGTTATAACGCTAAAAATCGGCTTAAAAATAAGCAAACAAACATACAAGCAATAATTGTTAGTATACGGTTCTTGATTTTAATATTCAGAGTTTCTATGATTACGGTATTTATGTCGTTTTTATAATCCAATTAGGTTTTCTAAATAAGGAATTGAAGTGGTAACGAAATTAAATTTTTTTTCATCCTTAAGATTTGTATTTTTTGTTTGTTTGACGTTTTTATTTTTCATCTTTTCAACGAACATTTCGGAAGTTCTTTCTAGTTCATCATCCAAATTGTTTGCAGGGCATATATCAAATACTATTTACATAATACACTTCAAGGTTCCTGTTGTATGGAGTGTAAGATTTTCCAGTTAAGGTATTGTTTTGAGTATGTTACTTTTCTATGAATTATAGTCTTATAAATTCTGATTGTTTTCTTATTATGCGAACGTTTATGGAGAAATTTTCTTCATTCTTAATTGTAAAATGAATGTTGGGATGTATGTCGTTGATGTGGTTTGAGAATCTTTCTTTTTCTGAGTTGAACCGCATAAAATATCATAGAAAAATTTCACCCAATATAATGATATGAATATGGCTGTATTTAAGGCCTATTTTTCCAGTTCATTTAAAAATTTGTTTGCTAGTGCACTTGATAGTGTCCTGCCCATACAGATGCCATCGGTTTGACAATAGATGATGTTGTATTTAAAATGGATCTTTCTGGGGAGATCAAACAAAGGTAGGAAATTTATTGAGGATGTGGAAATTTTGAGTATGGGGTCTCTGATAAATTAGTTCCACGACAAGTTTGTAAGTATCATCTCTTGGAATTTGTGTATGAAAACTTGCCATTTTACGAGTTGGATCCAATTTTTTGAAGGAGTTAATAAAATGTAGAGTGTTTTTGATGGTGTTATCCGAGCTGTTGTGTGCTGAAATAATACAGGTCAGATATTTGCCAAAGTTATAGTTAACAGAAGAACAAGCAGATATTATGAAACATTTTTATAGGCGTTTTATGAATTTTCGCCCGACAATGTTTTTTGAGCATTGCAGAGAACTATCAAAGTGTTAAAGTGCGTGTGATAAAGAGGGATAATGTATACATTGTATTTAATTCTTTTATAATGTTTTATTTGCTTTTTCTTTAATGTATTTGTCAGCCTTTTCCAACAGAAGGGTTACATATTGTTATAATCACCAACAGAATTCATGATGGCGATTTTAATAAATGATCAGAATTTATAACATGCCTCCCCACTAATGTTATAAAGTATGTTTTAGTCTCCACCACCACCACTAATTTAATAGTGTAGTACCTGTTCACAGGATTTGGAAAGATTTTCTAAGTATTGGTGACCTATTAACGTTTAGCCCATGAACTTCAAATGTTAATCAGGTCGAAAATTTTGCATGTATTATAAATTTGGTCAAAATCCATACATCCCATCTTTGGATGTTTTATTCACAAGATTGGGCCAGACAGACAAGGACAAACCAATTTTCTCCAATCTGCAATACTTCGTAGTGTGGGCATACATATACATAACACCTAATTTCTCTCTTCTTCTCTAGTACAACTAGTAAATCAGAGATGTTATACCAAATTAGGTTATAAGCTAGGATGGTAATGTAGTTATACTAAAAAACGTTTTTGACTATCTGATAGAGAAACCTGTATTTTGCTTGTTCTGAAGGATACAACCTGTGTTACCAGACTTTGTGATATAAAATTCTAAGTTTCTGTTCTTTGGTCATGGTATATTTGACAAAATCACATTTTTGATTTATACAAGTTTATTTTACATTGCAATCTGTTTATTTAATCTTGGCATACGTAATAATGGCCAATAAATATTGTTAACGTTTAGACAGAAAAATTGGTATCTTTTATCTAGATATCATTTAATCACATCAAATTCACTAACTTTTAAATTGTGTTATCAAATATAAAAAAATAATTATCAAAAATAACAGTATTCATATTCACTTATTAATGGATGAATATCCAATGGAAAATTGATGTGTTATTTTACAAATAGTAACATGTTTATATCAATAAATAATAAGCAAAACAATAAACTCTTATCTTAACTGTTCTCTGATAGCAATTCATTTACTAAATTACAACAAATATATAAATCTACTTCATTAAACATTTGCATACTGCTCAACCCAAATCATGATACCTCAAATTATCTATTCACCCATATTTTTACCAGAGGTCATGTATAACAATATGTTATAAAAATTAGAGAAGTGGCTCTCTGTTACAGTTTCCATATTACACAATCTATAACAAACTTACTAACAGAAATCTCGAATAATCTTTCTTGAAATTGTTAACAAGAAAAACCCACATTTCTAGTAAATATTAAACAACGAAAAAGTGCCAGTGAAAGATAACTGCTATTCAAATTGAAAACAAAAATCCTTTTATGTTTGATAATTAGTCTTTTTTTAACAAGTATAAAAATCTTAGAACTCAAGAAAAGTCAGCACTGTTGGTCCTAATCGTATACCTCCAAGACTAAGTACTTACAAAAGTATAATATTATTAATTTTTCTTCTAAACATTATATCAGTTATTGTGAATTCAAGTACTAAGTTCTTAAATCACAAAAACCGAAAAGGAAAGAGGCATTTGTCTTTTTTCTATAGCAGAGTCTTCCTACCCACTTTATCATAAACGTGAGGAAACGCAGATTTACAGTTTAGCTGTTCTCTCATTTTGTCGTAAAGTTGATGGTCAAACATTTCACAGAATTCATCTTTAGTCATGTAAGAGTCTGCATACAACATCTGAAAGCTGTAATAGAAGTAATAAGGGACTAATTAGGTGCTTGTATGGATCAGTGATTAACAATACCTTATACTAGTGGCTTTCGTGATGTTGGGAAAACACACAGGTTCAAAACATCAATTTAAAACAAAAGGGTTATAAGGTTTTATACTAGTGGCTGGTATTATAAACAATAAAAATAACTCTAATGTTGTCTGTTACATACTTTTACAAATTTATTATGCATTTTCATACTTAAGCTTTATCTACTATGACAAGTACTAACATCAATGGGGTTTAAAGACTGAGGAATTATTATCAACTTTCAGACTGTCTAGTTCAAATTACATTGCAAGAAAATCCTACAGAAAAGAAAGCTGTAGGCCAATCTGAACTAAATTCAAGCATTACTCAAATTTTCAGTTCATCTGACACAGAATAAAAATTCCTTCTGATTCGTCTAGCTTTAATTGACATAAAAGCTATTTAGGTATGTAAGACAACTGTTTACAGCACCTATAGGCAACTAAACACACAGATGAAAATTCAGGTCAGCTGACTGTTACAAGAATTAAAAATTGACAACATTCTATCATATACATTCAAATGCCCAACTTAAATTTTTAATTTTACAGAAGAATTCTAACTTAACATAATGGTGTGACAAGTTAAAACTGGAATATCTAAACAATTAAAGGAAGAACCCTGTTATGTAAAACAAGTTTTAAGTTTCGAATAACTGGAATAAGTTCAGAATTACCTTTTTTTTTATAAACACATTCCAAAAACTACAAGATTTTGTTTTACCATAACCGTAGCATTTTCTGGTCAATTGAATAAATTTAGCAAGATTTATAAAATATTCATGAAATATGCTGTTTCACAGAAAAAATTTAAAGGTTTTAAATGACTTACTATTAAAGAAGCAAAAATTTCAGAATGCAATAAAACTTACTACCAATAAAACAGAATAACTAAAGAGCCATTATTTCCTTATGGAAAAATCTGAATATTTCTATCCAAGGAAAGCTGTAGGATCAATACAGGGTTGTCACAAGATATTGTGGGGCTTGGAGCAAACTCATGACATACCTTCATGGGATCCAGAATGTATTAGGTCATCAAGAAATTAATTTCACTTTTTTTAAGATGAAAAAAACCCAAACAACTTAAATCTAACTTAATTATTGTGTGTGTGTGTGTGTGTGTGTGTGTGTGTGTGTGTGT